GCATAGATGTTAGTGGAGAGTACTTTGAGGGAATGGAATAGTTTTATTAATAATTATTATGTAATTTCGAGAAATAAGAATCAACGACAAAACTTTTCAGCATCCCCACGTAACAATATATTGTTTCTACGTATTGTACTTATAGTAAGCTGTCACTGTTATTTCGCACTGTTAGCATTTACCGAGAAATTACTAATCACTCGGCTAACTTCAAATAAAAAAGACAAATCGAAAAAATGATTAGACAGTTATTACTCTTCATTGTTTTCCTTCTCGCCAATGGGTCAGCGATGATCGACTTGGCATTTGCACCTTACTACGCAGGTGATCCGAGAAACCAAATAGACATATACCTAGACACTGTAAATAGCCGATTTTGCTATTCACTCCCGCCTTCATTCACTCCCTTTGCTCTTTCTGTGGACCTTTTTAAAGGCCTTCAACCTTACAAAAATAACGCATTGTGAAGAAACACCAGCACATTTATTGAGACATGGTCAACTATTGGAGAGCTATGAATAGGTAAAGCCTGATTGGCAATCTAAATATGTCATCTTGGGTTGCTTTGGTTGGACAGTTAATAATTGTAAAACTTCAAATATATTTAGGATTACAAAAACTAACTTGAAAAAGTTACATTTATAAGCACTGCAGTAGTGCAGCAAGGCAGCATATTAATATACCGATAACAATAATAATTAAGAATCGCTGCTAAATTTAAAAACACTTACTTTACGGCAAGTACATCAATTATTCCGTTCAAAAGATATTTACAATTATTTATTATTTCTTTTCTGTATTTCAAATTTGTCTTCTGTGCTCACGATTTATTGTTAAAGTGTCCAGCATCTATTACTATTACTATGATTACATTAAAGATATTATTCCATCTCGCGTGATTCGATTGTACACATGATTCAATTTACCGGTGGACAACACCGTAGGATAATATGTCAGTCAAACATGTCAGTAGAATCATAATCGAAATACAGTCTATCCTCTCTAATATAACCCGCTAATATTAACATCTCTCTATCATCAACATTGAAACAGAACGGTCCCCTTATCAACTTTAATATCATACCCTGTTGATTTCATAACATAGTCAGATTTTTGTTCTTAATAATATGTATACTTCACTCATATCAACATCAATATAAATTGTATTCTAAACGTCAAATTAACCTTTTGCAGCTATAACACGTCTCTGCATAATACAATTGAGACCGAAGAAGGTAATGAAGATAAATGTACATCCGGAATTTGTTGAATTATAAATGTAAATAGCTCTATAATAGTCGGGAATGAAAGATTTACAACGTTAAATAAGAAAAGCAAGTCGATTCTCTAAGACAAGCTAGCTTTGCAGAGTTATTTCACGATTTAGCCGTATACAAAAATTTATTAAATGTGAATTATATAAGCATGTGATTCTCGATACGGCCATGAGGCTGACTATGTTTTTACATAATAACAATTAATAAATCACACTAGTTTCACTATTATTATTGAAACAATATAATTAGAAGAACTAGTGAGAATATTGCTCTTTTAAATTGATAACATTACATCTCTGCAAAACTGTTATTACATGGAGAAAAAATTATCTATAGAATATACCAAGATTTGTAAAATGATCAGAAAGTGCTAATATAAACGATACATAAACCGATAAATAGAATTGCAAAGTTACACGTATAATGAACGGTAGCATAATGTTATAACACGTCGCTCGACTTCATTAATGAAGTAATTTCGTAGATTTGCTTCTCTCTTGCGAGAATCGGTGCAAGTCGTTCCGAAACGTTGACAAGTATCTTGCTGGAATTAGTCCATACGTTCTGATGTTGCCAAATAAAAATGCGTCCAGTTCTTTCAAAACCAATTCTCATTAGTACGAGCTTTGTTAAATGCCTCGTCTATTTCGTAAATTTCACAATTAATGTGGTGCAAGGGACGCTTTTTGTGAAAAGCCGGAAAAAGAGTATGTCCCGTATACTAATTCATGTGATGACTTCAAGCGACGAGTGAAGCATTTCGATACAATAAAACAACAGGAACAGTGTGTCTATGTCATAATATACACAAATGGATGCGAGAAACAGAGAGTTCATCTGCTTAGTACGCATCAAACATTTTTCAATGACTTTAAAGTATAAAGGAATTTTATTTGATCATATAACATTAAAAAAAAAACGTAATTACTTCTCATTCACTTTATTATTAAATTTTGTTACAGTTAGATTTTGTTTAATGTTGATTTTATAACCTTGACAAGTGAGTGCAATAAATGCTTCTCGTCTCCTGACAGTCAAAAAGAAACTCACTTGGTGTAAAGGAATGCATATTTTACGATTTACGCGGAATGTAATCTACTACCGTCCGTTGGGATCAATAATATCAAAAATGGTTTCAAAAGATTAATGCACACAAATAAAATTCGAGAATTGGGTCAAATTCACGCAAGTACAAACCAACCATCAGAATGTGAGCGCATAGTGATCAATGGTTGTATGAATAATAATAATTACGGTTTGTTTCGAACATATACAAACGTGCTTTGTCGATAAAGTTAAATACATGATCTATAATGTAGGTTAACATCGATCATACCAACAACTAGGTAGGACACATATATGGACAGGGTTGTGATACAGCGTTATATCGATACATTCTCGTGAGTTGCAATATAAAAGTAATCGTAATATATTTTTAATTAATTTAATTGTATGACGGGAAAGATACTTATATCATCGGAATGAACTCGTCTAAAACCTATAACAGCCGCTCAAATAAATGCGATAAGTAATTTCGTGTGGAGCGAACATCTGGTTCTTTCTAAATCAACTCTGTACTGAATTGCAGGTTTTCGTCCGAGGAGAGCTTCGGAGACTTTGAAATAAATGCAATGTTATAAAAGTAACAACTTTACCAGCCTATTGCTTTTTTTACGATCCGTGACAATACCATCGCAGGTATAAAGAAACCGTCTTTTCACATCTGATTATCTATTATTATGAATAGTATTACCAAGATCAAGTAAGAATAAATCACGGCTTGTCATGATATAGTTGATGCGACACTACTTTTAATTACATGTCGCTTTTAAACTCTTGAAATCTTTTTGTGGGGGCGTTATTATTTCCTGATGACTGACAATCGTAAAAATTATACCAATGGTTATCGTAAGGATAATATTAACACCTTTTTATTTTACGCATCACTGAATATTTAAAGCAAACGTCACTACATTTGGTATAACCTAATTTGGGTTTCAAAAAAAGTATGTGACACTAATACTATCCTAATATTAATAAACGTTTTCAGGAGGGAGGATTTTAGATGTTTAGATGTTTAGATGCCAAGCCAGTATTATAAATAGCAAGAGACATTATTGACGGGTGAACAGATTAAAGTGTCAGAACTTCCGCAAAGATTTTCGTTGTTAGTCCTTTGACCCTTCGTAAGACAAAAACGTTTGGATACGTGCTTTAAATGGGTTTACCCTATGTCAACGTTGTTAGCTCAACGAGTTACGGTTTTATATTTATTGTTGCGGACTTCGCACTTTTATGTCACATTTAATTATGTCGACACGGGTTCACCAATGTTTCACGGCACGTTAAAATAATCTTCTACAAGTTCATCTATTGGAAGCACAAATGACTAAGAGCCTGTGTTCTTAATTTTAACCGTGTGTTTGTACTGTATGTAACTGTATACGATATCCTATCATGTTCAATTGATTCGTTCAACTGCATTTTGTATTATCAATTGTGTACATATAAGTGTCAAGTCTTTCTCTAAAGGAGGATGTTATGTCTCTGTTTGTATTTACAACTAGTTAGTTGAATAATATTAATATTAATTTATTCCGTTTTGGGAGGGACGGTAGTCAACAATCCTTAGATACATTTAAATGTATCCACATTCCTTGAAACTGCACAGACTCATTCTGCGAACGTAACAAGGATTCGACTCGGGAGTCATCCTACGTTTATATATTTTTGAATATACCGTCATTCGTTCTCGCAGAAGACAACACAATACGGGGATATAGAGAATGAAGTTGTCATCTGTTTATGATCATGCTAACCAGAAGGGCTCTCAAGAAAGTCTACTCGGCCTAACAATTACAAATGCTGATGGGAATTCGACTCCTTCGATACCATTAGACATCTTCCTTAGGAGGGACGGTGTCGTTAACCCCATCAGCAAAGTTGCGGAAGATTTCTCATACGCCGCAATACATGCGAGAACAAATAATAAATATCCTCCTAACGAACCCGATAACAGCAGTAGTTCCAGTACAACGCATACTACTTATACAGAAACTAATACTAATACCAGCGATATCCTTCCAACGACTACCAATACCCCGTCATCTCCCTCACCTTCCTCACCTACCTCACCTCCATTATCTCCGAGCACTAACCCATCCCCCAACACATCCGGCGATGCCACCCCAACAGGAACTGTTCCTTCCAATGTACCATCTTCATCGCCAAACGATTCTTCCCTTTCGTCTTCATCACTATCTTCTCTTAATACATCACCACCTCCTTCGCCCTCATCCCCATCTACACCATCAATATCACCGCAGCCCCCACCATCTACGGCCTCAATTCAGAGTCCTACCGCAAGACCATATCTGATTGCTGCAATACCCGTTGTATTTGCCGCTCTAATTATTACAATCGGGCTGTTCTTCCTTCGCCGTCACCGTAAAGCAAACAAGACCAATCAACAATCGAATGCGCCATATATGGGAGAATTGGCTGCCTTGTCCTCGCCGACGGACAGTAACCGTGGCAAGCTAAGATCATTCTTTGGTCGGCGTGAACGAAATAGTCAAGCCTTTTTAACTGTTGGAGCATTTCCAAGAAACAATCGCACAGGTGTAGCAAATAGTGACATGAGCGAAAGCATAGTGCAAAGCGAAGAGGGTGACGGTAGTAGTAGTTACGTTTCTGACAGCAATAGAAGCGACTATAGATATGATCCTTCGTTTACGCAGTTCGTGTGCTAGTAGTGGAGGAGGGGGGATTACTTAGCGTAAAATGGTGAAAGGATTTGGGGTGTAAATACAAACACTTTAGAAAATTTGACTTTTTATCGCTCGCTTATCAAGCGAAGACTGCATAACAAACGTTGGGAATAGAAACGGGGTCATTTCGATTAAACGCATCCATTGTAATTAGAACCATTATAATAGACATAATTATTGCGACTACATTTATTGTAATTCAACACACATCTCTTTACAATCTCCTCTACAATGATTTCTAAACAAACCGCAACTCGTATTCCCCAAGACTAATTTTCGCCATCGAATTCTGCACGATTCAGCAAGTCGTAGTCGCCCCTCACTACGCATTCAGCAAACTTAATTACAGCATCGTTGACTCTTCTGTTCCTAAAAAATCCCAATGCCGACGAGCTCATCTGCTCAATTGCTTGTCCTCCAACAACCTGTATAAAATCGTATACTCTCACGGCAAGAACGTTCGTCTTCACAATGTCGCTCTTGGCTACTGACAGTCTTTTTGATAGCTCTTCATCCGATGGCAAAAGGGGAATTTCTTCGCTAAGAATAATGATTTCACCGAGTTTATAGGCTGAGAGAATCGCATTTGGTGTCTTGGGAGAAGCGATCAAAGAGTCGTAGCAAGACATATAGTATTGGGTTAAACCATTCGAAATGATGTCCGAGGAAATGAAAGATGGCGGAAGAGATGGTTCGGCAATGGCACTCTGGAGGATTGCACAGAGTTCATAAAATTGTATTATAGACAAACGATTAATGATTGTACATGGTATATTGGCGATATCTAGCATTGTGGGTGTCGGAAGACAAGCAGCATATTGTAGCGGTAGCGGTTGGAATGTATACGGTGGTGGTGATAAGCTGAAGGGTGGTAGTAATGACTCTTGTGTCTTGGAAGGTAAAACAGTTGGAAGGGCTGAGTTAGGGAAGCGCGTAAATTGTGTGAGTGATAAACAACCAAACAAGTACAGACAAAATGTTTATAAATTATCGGGCGACTTACATCTGTCTCTATTGCATCTCCTTAATCCTACATCAACTTGACTAAACTCGTTATTATCAACATCACGATCATTAGTTTCATTTACTTTCCAATCAATATTGTTCTTTGTATCTTCACACTCGCTGTTATCACTCTTCATATTCTTCTGAAGAATAGCTTTTATCTCTGAGACGAAATGGAACGATACAGAATGACACTGCATTTGAATTGCATTTTCGAGTATACAGAGAATCACTTTTTCGTCGAGGGAATTATGCAACGATTCGTTGATATTTCCCGGCATAATAGATAAAGGGGTAAAGCGAACGATAAAGACAGGCAAGACGAAGAATATATTGGGTAATTATACAGGAATGGTTGGAAAAGTCGCAAGACAAGCTATGAAAGAGGAAAGATGGTGATTATTTGTGAACGCGTCGACTATTTATTGATTAATTGTGTATGACACGTCATTTTGAAATATAAAAATGTAACAATGATGACGAAATATGGAAAGAATGTGAAATATTGCTATTGATTAATATTCGAAAATTTAAAAAACGTCGTAATAGTAATACAGTCCATCTCAACGGATCCAAAATTTCTTATTAAAGAAGTATAATGATACTACTTAAACAGCTATCTTAATCTTGTTCGGATTGCGCTTAATTATAAAATAGGTTATTTTGTAAACTATAGTTCGGTAGTCAAGAAAGTATGAACTACACAATTATACAGAAATATACGAATTATGCATATAATAATTAAATGTAGTAACGATTATCAAAGAACAGAAGCAATCGTCATTCCATTACATTAAACATTCATCGGGATACAATGGCAACAATATAAAATAATCAGCAACGTGATATGCAAGAAATTTCTTGTTTTTATTCGTCCTTTGTCTTTAACAAAGGCATGCTTTTTATCTGAACTATGAAAAATGTACAGGAGAAAATATCACATGTTTAAAATATTAATATAGAATTATGATAGCGCCGGTCACTACTCATTCAAGTCTTGGCCGGATTTATTGAAATTAAACTGGATAGAACTGCGGTAAGATACTTGAAATGGGTTTAGGAATTATATAATAATAAGATTCTAATACACATTTTGCAGCTTTCTCTCCAAATTCCTCTATGTCGTTTCCTTTACTTTCCAAGTTTATGTACTTACTTCAATGCTTCTCTTGTAATTTTTCTCACTGGTAGAACAAGTAAGCTGCATTTGAGCCTCTTACAAAGCCATGGTCTGGTTAAGGTCAGTTTTTATATAACAATAATTATTGAACATCCCCTCTCCAGTTGTTATTGATGAATGACTATAGACCAAATTCTATATTTGACAGAATCATAAACTAGTGGAAAACTATGAAGATCAGAAGCATGAGAATTTGTAAAAGTAAGAAATTGACTCTGAAATTCAATTTCTTTTAGAGCATCAAATAGACCAAAAGAATTTTTTTGTCCCTTCAAGGATCTTCTAAAAACTCAGCATAAGTATAAGATTCTTCTTGCCAACTTGACTCGATTGATTTGATATTAAAACTTTCGAAGCAAATGCTCTAGCAAATTCTGGACCGTAATCACATCCAGCATTCCATCCATTTCGAAATGCAGCTTCAACTCCGCGATTTAATTTAAAATGGTGAGGCTGTAATTCACTCTCTTGAAGTATATCAAACTCTTCGGCAAGATAGTCGTCAGATTTACTTATTTCTTGTAATTCGCCCAACAATACCGGATAGTAATACTTGATCAGGCAACTCATGTGCTCTGTTTCCAGAAGGAACCAACGTACCATTTTGCATCACACAAGGAGTTTTATCATGACCCGTAAGAAAAGCAATTACTTTTGCATAGAACTTGTTTCCAAACTTTACCATACGCGGATGCGCTTGATATTATCAAAGCCAGTTGGTAACGGCGATTTCGCAACTACGGTTTAAATATGGTAGTGTATTTTTCGAGTTTGGGAATTAACCTCGAAGATGAAAATCTCTGCGCTCTAAATACTGTTCGCCTGTTCGGAGTTGATATAGCCATCGAGTAGAGGTAAGTTTTTGATATTGTGTTTCAGTAGAGTCCAGCACAAGCTCCTAATTATGCTCGGCTTCATATTCGTAGGACTATCTCTGTCACTGTCTTTGTATCCATCATGAATTGATACGTCCCTCCCTGTGAAATGACTTCCTTTCTTCGAGATTGATATTTTCTTATTTCCTCAATAAGATTTTTTTTCTTAGTGAGGATAATATCATATCTCGATTTATTGGCCTGACGGATGTTCTATAAACAATGACGCTACCGTTGATTTAAGTTTTCCCAAAGGCCTTATTTTCGAATTTGCTCATTGCTATATGTACCGAATGCATGTCACGCGGAATTCGATATGCATTAGCTTGCGATTGATGATTGAAGCAACAAGCAATTCCAACAATCAGATAAGCAAGTCACATGATAAAATCTTCATTAATTTTAGAACAGTAATACAAGCAAGCGTCCTTGTCAAGCCCTTCGATTTACGTGTCAAGCGGAACACCATAGCTAACTTAGATTTTAATTCGTTCCTCATGTATCATGCGATTTTTTTGATAATTTTTAGAACGTCCCGCATTTCCGTGTCGCAAAAGATATATAAACGACTCAAATCCCATCGTCGAAAATTCATGTTGTTAATCTCATGTTGTTAGTAATGTAATGATATATTTATTGCCATATCCACGATAAACGATTCCCTTTGAAATCGAAATTTACTTTCTTTCATCGTTGAAATATTAATTGTTTGGCCGGATACGCTAATAAACGGCTCAATCAGGCTGTAAAAGCTATACTGATACCAAGCTGTAAAGATATCCATAGATCATTTACTCTTATAATAATCGAGGAACGAGAGCTCATAATTAATCATTGAAACGATTCTTGTTTTAATTATACCCGACTAGTCGAAACACCAAATCGAAGCAAGCTCTGTTATAGTTTATAAATAGAACAATTCCCCATGTTGTTGTGATTAATATCGTAGGGAATACTCGTTAGGGAATACTCATAAGCGCGTATAATGCGGTCATACGAAGCTAAATCTGGTAACATCCACGCGAAGATAAACGCTCTCCCATAATAATAACCAGACCATCCGACCGTGACATAAGAAACACAGGGCAAAAATGTCAAGATCAATATTCCTTATTTAATAGAGCTAAGGGAGAGGATGAGTTATGTAGTGAGTATTCACTTTAAGACGTGATGTTAAGTCAATTAAAAACAAGAGCGCTTTTTGCATTGTTGTATTCCCCACTCTTTCATCAATTAAACAATTGAGATTAGTCCATTTTTGATTTGTATCACTGGCAGAAATTAAAATCGTAAACAGTTAACGCATTTTAATTTACATTATTGGCACTAATACTAAAATCGCGATAGATTGTAAAAGGAAAATGCTAATGCATATCAGAACAAGACGCAAGACAATCTTAACCGTCTGAGCTACTTGCTCAACCATTGCTCCTAATACTAATCTGTGATGGTACATTCGATCTAGCTTCGGAACTACATAGAAATAATAGCGTACAACTGACGTTGACCTTTATTGGGGGTTAAACACATGTTGAAGTTTCATAAGTTTACCAACACCCATTATGTCGTGGGTTTGGATTGAAGACAGTGTAGTAGCGTATAGTCGTAAATCAACCAGTACAGTATTTACTTTGGCTTTTGCGCTGGTATGTTTCTAAAGGCCGCGATAATGTCCCCCACCTGAAGCAAAACAAATAAAGGCGAGTGAGTACTTTAGGTGCTACGTTAAATCACGTTTAACGAGTGTGTCAGAGCCAAGATGTCCGAAACAGGTGTTAAATCTACGAGAATATACCAGTCAGAGGTGATAGAAAGAGTTATTGTCATGTTGGATATAGCGGGTTGCCAAAATGGTTCCGAGAACGAAGTTATTTGTTCTTGATCATTGAACTATGATGATAGATTTGGGCAAAGAAATAATTTGGTCCGATAAATTCTCGTGTGCACCCCCCGCAGAAACTTCGCATTTGGTTATTGTACTACACTCAAAGGGTTAGCAGACTAAAAACCGAGCATTATACCGTAATAGTAACATAAGCCTTATAACTCGGCGGCTTGGCATCTATTACGTTTTTATTTATCTTGACTCTGGATCGTTTATGAATCAAGAAAGATGTCTGTGTCTTTTGCTGAACTAAAGCAAAAAGCGAATACTCCGCTCGATCCTAATGCTGCGAATGTAGAAGCATGGACTAAGAAAGCCGAGAGTTTACTCAGTGGGGTAAGAGAACAAATGAATAGTCAACACGAGAAATCGTTAGCGTGGGCTTACATCTCTTTTAATGTAGGCACAGTTAGCTAATAAAGAGGGTGACCTTGAGAACGCGTATGTAAAATATATACAAGGTTTAAGGTAAAGGATGTGTGTGACCTTCTATTAAACGTGAACAGACCGTTTTTATGCAATATTATATCAGGTTGTCGACTGCCTATATGCAGTTTGCAATTTTATCGTACTGAATCTAACATGCATGTTACTTGCTGTTACAATGCAGAATAGTCCTTGAAATCATACCTAAAACACCCGGGTTTTCCAAGCTGAAAAAGGAGGATTCATCATATATTAACTACAAAGCAGTGGAACGAATTGTACCGTGAATATAGATCTCTTTCGTGTACTGTTCACCGTTGTACTCTTCTTTTTAGTAACACATTCGATCATTTCAATTAGGCCAAAGCTGCATTAGATAACGCAGAGTCAATTGCACTAACATTAGATGCGAGAGACAACCGAGCGAAAATGCCTGAGCCACAGCCAGTCATTTCGCCTCCAGCAGACATTCGGCGGCCAATAACTGCTACATCTCCAACGAAACCATTTGCGTTGCCACAAACAAAGCCATTTGCAGATCAACCCCCCAAGTCCCCAGTATATATCGCCGCTAATCAGAATGTCGGCAGTTTTATAACCACAAATGGCAGCGCAGGCGTTCCGTTATCGATGCCGCAACCGATGCCTCAACCCATGCCTCAACCCATGAAATTATCAGAACAGGAAATGGTAAACGCGATGGCTGGCCTTGTGCCCAAGGCTACTATTCTCGCAACCGAGCTTGATGGATTTCTCAGTTCACCAGACAAAGTGCGTGTTTTGATTGTCGATATTCGGGTAAGAAGTGCATTTGCTCGAGGGCATATTAAAGCAAAGGACGTTGTCTGCATTGAACCAATGATTTTAATCGATAGGTAAGGGCTGGTGCTGGTCGAGCGTAGATATAATGTATTTTGACACCTTGTTAAGATGTGTGTTTTTAACCAGATAATTTTTATTTATTCAACTCTCCCATTATTCAGTATTTCTTCTCTCGATTTAGAAGAAAACAGGCTTATCCTTTCTCCACCAGAAGAACGCCATAATTTCAAAATGCGGCATACTTATGATTTGCTCGTGTATTACGACCAAGACTCTGCCACTCCACCAGATGTGACACGTACTAGTATTTCTACAAAAGGAGAATTCCCCAACGCACTAAGAAATTTCTTGTTGGCTATAGGGACGGAGAAAAACTTACACAGACCTCCTGCACTTCTTGTGGGTGGATTTGAAGCATGGTATCGATTGAAAGGCGATGCTGGGGTAGCAAGTGATGGTTCGAATGAGAATGATAGACCAGGTCTTGTTAGAACATCTAGCCAAGATAGAACCAAACGAAATGGCATGGTAATACACGATGAGTTAGTTCAGAGGTAAGAGAAATGAACGTACAATCGAATAATTGATATTAGTAATAATATTATTAGAATTATTAGTGTTGGCAACAACTAGCATGCATGATACTATAATTATCCACTACGTAGAAACTAACAGCTTATTACTATATTATCAACAGCCTTGCTAATGGGTCAGTTGGCAATCCACTTCAACGTCACGGTGCCATTGGACGTGGACGTTCCGGTTACAATAAGAGCTACATGGATTTCGTAAGTTATCATTACATTTACACTATTGTTGGATTACGCATCGCTAGCAATCGATATTGATAATCGTTTCTTAATTAGTTCCAAGGAAACCGTAGTCCACTTATGCAATCAATGATAGGTCTCAATACACAAGTTTCTATTGCAGGCGCATATCCCACATCCCAAATTCCTGCATACAACATGCCTTTTCCTCAACCCCAACAGTTTCAACAATACCAGCAACCTCAGCAACCTCAGCAACCTCAGCAACCTCAGCAACCGCTATCATCGGCTTTCGGTATTACTGCCACTAATTCTAGTACTGGCGCTACTGTATTTAGTACAAGTCCCGTATCATCATCTACTTCCGGAATAGGCCAGATGACAAGCGTACCAGCGCGCCCTTCGAATGATGTTACATTACGAAGACGACAGACCATGACAAAAATGTTTGATCATCCATTCTATGGATTTACGGAAGTTGTTGACCCTGAATTGGCTATACCGAGACCCACTCGACCGTTGCCCAAGCCACCTACGTCATTTCAAATGCCCGTGTCGTCTTGGATAACGCAGACAGGATTATCCAATCTTGGTAATACGTGTTATCAGAACGCGGTAATACAAGTGTTCAGATGTACTCGTCCATTTACGATGTATTTCATAGAGCGTCTCTACAAGAAGGATAAGCGAAAGGTGCGTGAAAAGAGACAATGGAATGCCTTTGGTAGCGACAAGGATTTAGATGATGCGTTTGCAGATCTGTTAATACAAATGCGCAGAGGAGGCGAAGCATTTCATCGTCCAAAGGAATTCAGAGAGGCCATATCTCGGGAAGCACGCGCATCAGGAATGGATGAGTATGCAACCAGCGATCAACAGGATGCACAACTGTTTTTGACATGGTTTTTAAGTAGACTGGAGGCTTACCTTAAAAGAGACCCTGATCCAACAGAACTTGCAAAGATTGATGTATTAGAGAAGAAAAGGAGTTTTTTATCCGAAGACGAGATAAGTAATTTGGAATGGAGAAAATATTATCAGAACAACAGATCTATCTTTGTTGGAATACTTGGATTTATAATGAAGAGCAGAGTAGAATGCGTTGGCTGTCGCTCTTCATCTATCACATACGAAGCGTACTTGAACATATCTGTTCCGATTCCTGTTCCGAGTGGACCGAACAGAATGCAAATGGTTACATTGGATCAATGTATGCGTGCATTTACCGACGAAGAGATACTACAGGGTAGCGATGCATGGAATTGCAACAAGTGTCCAGCCGAAAGACGTATATCTAAGAAAATATATGCATTTTCATCGATGCCCAATATTTTGGTCATACAATTAAAAAAATACTACTATCGAAAGACATTCGAAGCTGGAAGACTGAACGTAATGGTTGACTTTCCCCTTGAGGGTTTTGATTTGTCACCCTATGTTATTCCTGGATATTTGAAAGGCACAGGGTCTACTCGATATAATCTATACGCTGTGATTAATCATGAAGGACGAACAGTCACTGAAGGCCATTACACTGCAAATATCTATGATCGAGGGCGTGCAGTATGGTATAAATTTGACGACACTTCTGTCAGACAGTTGAGCGTTCAAGATGTGAAAAAGATGGTAAGTCGATAACATAAATTAAAAGACGCAGATGGTATCTGCCAATAGTCAGACAACCGTTATACTTGAAACATAGCATAGCGACGTTATCATGAGGCATTTCTACTGTAAGAATATATAACGCATGTATCTAGTATCTAACGTAATCCTATCGTCTATTTGTAGGGAGACCTCGCATATATTCTGTTTTACGTGAGAGACCAAGTAGAAATGACGGAAGATGGTCAATTCTAATATAAATTAGATAATATTTTTGCTATTTGGTACTAGCGTGAGAGTAGATGGTTGTTGGACATTATCAATGTGCAGTTTTTTGTAAATAGGGAAATAATGTTGCGATTATCTTATTGACATTGTGTACAATAGTAAAACGTGCATCAAAGCATACAATTTGTGTTATGCGCTTTTGATGCCTGATTACGCAAGCAACGTGGAATTAGTACCATAAGAGAATCCAATAATTTATAAGTAGAAGGACTCCAGGAGCCGTCCAATGAATGTTTACGTCTGCTTTATAATTATTCTAATATTATGATTTGACGGTAATGGCAAATACACTTTATTTTTATAAAAATTCAGCGCATAAATATGCGAACAAATGCAAATGTGTCAATGATTGGGCAGTCACGCTTTGTCGAGACAAGAAACTGGTCTTAAGATTCATCACAATTTTGGATCAAATCGCGTATTACAAATGTAATGCCAGAGTCTTACAAATATACCACCTGACAATAGAAGTGGTCGACAGAGAGAATTATTGCAGAAGCTGATATCGAAAGTTTGGAAGCATCAAACGTGACTATCTAAAGGGCCCTGACTATAATAAAAGTCTTCCAGTTGGCGATATCACCGTGCAACACATATACGAATCTGGTGAAGCAACATCACTAGAAGGTATAGCATGAACACAATCAGCTGCTCGGATTTCCTACCACCCGCCGCACCCGTGAAATCATTAAATCCCCTCCGATTTACTATAAAAGAAATTCAGCAGCAATAATGGTGGCGACAGCAATAAGAACAGTAATAACAACAAAGAAGACGCCTTAACGATGTGATTTTTGGCGTAGATTCAACTTTAATTTTATGCACCTTTTTGTCTTTGCTTATTCGTCGGCTTGATAGTCGACCGCGCGTTCATGGTAATGTAAAAAAAGTGGGGTCCATGTTTTCTTGTTGAGGACCTGCTCAAATCATTGTTATCCTTTGTTCAATTCGCTCAAGTCTTATCGTATCGCTGTCTTTTCCCATTTATGAAATTCGAGCTCATTAGTGTTCTGTGGTATTGATGGAGAAGTTCAAGCAAATAATGTCCCAACTCTTCATTTTTCAAATATTGAAAAACAGAAGTGAATACATTTGTTATGCGAAAATTAAGCAAGGGCATTTCATTGGTAGGGGTTCTCAACTATAAGAGACATAAATGGCAAATGTTAATACTTTCCCTAATAAGTTAGTCGGCAGAAAATCCCGCCTCAAAAGAATAAACCAACCTTGCAAAAGCTTTCTAACGAAATCTCCGAGTCGTTGCTGACAACCCATAGCATTTATAGAAAAGTGCCGTGTGTCGCTTTTTAATCAACATTATCATCTTGATTGATAACCCAGGTTATAAAGTATTTAAGCGACAAAATGTCATCAAAATAATTCTTTACGTCTTTGAGTGATGCGTTTAAAAGCGCGTCGAGGGCGGCGAAGCGATACCAAAAAAGTGTCACACTAAAATGTGACTTGTTTTCTCATATAAGACGCATTGTCGCTTCGCGTTAATTGAATGGCAGAATGCTTTCGAGAATCTCTGTTGTCTGTATATAGCATGTACAATAGGTAACAATAATTAGGCATCGTTTTAAAGTTGATTGCCTGAAGAAGGAGATGAAGTGTAGTGTATACGAAAACATATGGGTAACTTATCTCTCATCGAGTACAAGCAATCAACTTCATAACGATACCTAAATCATTGCTACTTACATAGTATACACGTATACAAACTAAGAGATTTTCGAATAAAAAGATTTTTCATATGGTTTACTAATTGCCTCCTATCATCGTATAGATGACCGGTCCATTGATGATTGAATATGGTCATCGGGGTGAAAATGTCGACTTTTCATCTCCATGATTAAGGATATATTCATTCATCATAATAATCACCGATATCCTAATCTTCCATCTGTTACGATGATATTAAACTTGAGCGTCTTTCGGCTCTCGCAATCAGCGGTATTGCTTCCAAGATAGTAAGCTCGGAGGCTTTATTCGTTATCCAATGCATCGATACGGTTTTCACAAAGAAGATGATCTAAAACCAGTAAGGGTGGATCGCGTTTTTGACTCTATAAAAATCGTAGTTATATGGACTGCCTTCCGCAAACAATTAATTGCCAAGTTTACTGCACGTTAAGTAAGAGACAAGAACAATAGCCAATATTTGCATCATAATAACAGTCTGAGATTCTCTGCAAAGAAATTTGGTGTATTAGTCTCAAGTTGCTCAAAAAGCCGTTGGATACCTCAATGATTATTTTCATTCTCGTTGTCCAAGACACAACACAATAACTGAACGGTATAATAATAAGAATGTGTAACTTTTTGACCAATTAGAAACAATTACAAATAATTTATTACAATTCAATTTGCATTTGTTCTACTAGCAAATTGATATTCAGAGATTAATATCACAGTCGAGTCATTTAACGCAATCCATCCGAGTCATTTAACGCAATCCATCCGAGTCATTTAATGCAATACCAAAGATTAACATGATTAATTTTATATGCAACCAAGATGTTACTTTACTCAGAGCAAGCAATGTACATCGATAGACTTGCAACATTAATGACCAGGTTTAAAGACGTCCATGATTGTTGATCTGTGTACAGTATAACCCGATCACGAAACCAAGATCAAAGCCCGTGTGTGGTAAATGAATAAATTACAAATTAGAAACCAATCTGTGTTCTAGATGGCTTTTTAAGGGCGGTTACAAACGTCCAGTTCCTTGGATGTTTTTGCTAACTGAATTTGCTTGCACATGTACCTTATTGGGATTGCTACAATTGTTTAGTAATATAAAAACGGTAACTTGATCACAGCCCTGAAATTTATAACGTACAAGGAAGTGGTGATACAGCCTATTGTTCCACAACAACAATATAACAATATGAATATGCAGATGTTTATCCTCCCCCTGGAGGTTTTAACTGCCCTTATTTCATTGTTGCGTCGTTTGTGCTTGCTGTCGTTGTTCGTCCACAATATACGGAACATAGGGCTGCCGAATCGTAAGCTTAAACCTTATCTACGAGACACAAGGATGGGTTGGGTAGGGGTGAAGGAAAAAGTGAGAGATGGCGATATTGCATCAACGGTTGTATTCGTATACAGGAAGCACAAGAGTAGAGAGTGTGTGCAAATGGGTCGGGTCGTTACATTGTAATTGGGCCTTATCCAATCCATCTGCCTCATTCATTCGAATACCAATCCCTATTCCTATCGTCTGTACTTTTTTTTTTTTTTTTCTACTCGTCTATTTTTAATGGCTTAATTTGTTTATTCTTGTCATTTTTAGAACTACATTTCCGTTTTGGGGGGGATTATTTTAAGAATAATACGTAATAATAGATAGATATAGATGATATTCCTGTACGTTTGAGGCTGATGGATACAGCAGAAAATGATGAATACGAGCATATTATTATGCAAGTAAATTATACATGTTGTATATTATGCATGTTGTTATTATAATATGTCTTATGATATATCCATACCATTGTCATGGCTTGCTGCTCTGCTCTCTCATATTGTCGTCAATTCTATTGTATGCCATTATGCGCAGTGTGTGGCTGTACTATCTGAACACAATGTTGCTATCCTGCCTTAATATTTAGCTACATATGTAACACAGGAAGAGAAGGGAGGAGAGAAAAGAAGGGTTTTTTAAATAGGATTGAGGGTCAAACCAGTCAAAGTAACAAGAGTCGCCGAGCAGGCGCCAAGCTATCGAATAGTCTATGCAGTAAAACTCGAGCATAGGTTTCTTCCCATTGTTTGTATGTTGTCTGTGTTTGCGCTGGGAATAAATGCCAATAATAAGCAGTAACTCGGAGTTAGTAATACGAATTATTAATGATTGGCATTCTGCCCCAAGGACAATGTTATGTCGGTTATTTTATTGTCATATTGTCTCCCAACCGAGAGAATAAAGACCTAATAATGTTTTTGATGAAATAAATCATCCGTTATAAACAATACTAATATTCATCTTCCAAGTAGAGGCGAGAAGGAAACGCATGAGAGGGTTCTCATGATATGGGGTTGGGAAGGAAAAAGGGGAGGGACTTTTTTGAGCGACTGTACAGTCATTGTGATATAAGGTTATATCGTCAACATCATTGTCACGGTGCTTATTATGAATAATTATTATTACCTGTTTACTATTATAGATGTTTCTATATCAATTATATCAATTATATCAATTATATCAATTATATCAATATCAAAATATATTAAGACTTGATTATCAGTATTGCAGTTGCAGTTAAAGTTTGCTGCTATTCCCAGTTTTCCAAGCAGTGGACGCTTTGAGATACTTATTACTTCCTTTTGTGGAGTGTGTGGATAAAAGTCAATTCGCTAAAACAACAGTAACTACGTAATATAGCATAAACTGACTTACAATAAACAATGAAAATAATAATTGTCAGAACGAAACCTCCCCTTTTCCATTATCAAACCGACTGCCCATTATTATTGCTGCCCCCCCAAATTATTACAAGCTACTGTTTCCCATTATTGTTGTTGTTATTGCCGTTGTTGTTATTCTTGTTCTTGTGTTGTTGTTGTTGTTGTTGTTGTTGATGTTGATGTCGACGTCAATGTGTTTATTGATATTCATCCCGCATCCCAAACTCTCTACTATCGTCCCCTACCCCCCCTCTCACATTCTTCTAGGGTGCGTCTCATCGGAATTTATGTAAGCACACATACACCCCCCTTTTACTACCACAACATTCCAAATAAAATCCCCGACTTCTCACCACTCTTTGGAGCCCACACGGGTTCTCTCTTTCTCTCTCCTCACACAGAAAACCCAACTCATTCAATACACACATTCAATACACTTTCATACATATCGAGAGATACATTCCGAATATTACACTTTAATTTACACACCTGGACTTTTGCACTATTCTACAACACCCCATATATCCATACATATTCACTATACAATATTCACTTGTTCGCACTCTGTCTTCATTTGCACTCTTCCATTGCTTCTTGTGCTCTTATAACAACCGAACCTTTCCCCCGTGTCAGTCAGCGTAATAGTGTCCCGGTTGCTTTACTGTGATCGAATAGAATTCGGAAACAAGTAGCTAATCGAAAGTCTGACAGACTGACTGTACTTTATCGTTTCTCGCTTTGCAACCAACTGGCATACGATTTATTGTACATAGCACAATATATTCTCAAAACCACTCTCAAAAGATTCTGCCATAAATATTTCTCAAGTATTTATCACATTACCTACAACTTTCAACTTTATACCCACTACTTCATGTTCTCTTGAAATAGAATTATTTTGCATAATCAAGAAGAAGAAAAAAAGAAAAAGAGAAACAAACTCTTGAATAATACCCACTATTTCTGCTAAAATTTCTCTCCTTTCCCGTTATTCACTGGGACACAGAAACACTTTATCTTAATCACTAAACTCTCCAATTTTTCATCATTCTTCCCCCTTTTTTAATAGCCTAGTTGCATAATTAGAAGTTACCTTCTGCTTTCCCCGTATTATTATACTTGCATTCTGTACATAATATTCTTACTATCACTCGCCATGCATCCCACTCAACTATCACACAACACCATGATTAATGAGGAAATTTCCACCATTTTCGTTGTCGGGTTCCCTGACGACATGCAAGAGCGTGAATTTCAGAACATGTTTATCTTCTCTCCTGGCTTTGAAGCGGCTACCTTGAAAATTCCGCAGAAGGACTCATCCGATGATGATTCCAATGGAAATAATACCGGAAACAACCCTCGCAAGCAAATCGTGAGTATATTTATAAAGTGATATTTTAAGATCAAGAGAGTCGATAGAGTGTGCTTTGGGTTGAGCGAAACACAATTTTTGACATTGTCGAGAGCGTCCTTGCTTGTGTTATCGGCTCGGAAACGCTTTTCCAGGCAGTTATCTGAATTATCAATAGGCTTGTCCGTACAACGCCTATTGAGTAGACTATTATACTAAACTATAATATATAGATTATGCCAGATTATCAATACTACTACATTGTTAGCCCATATTTGTACTTGGTATTCAGTAGCTATTGTTTTGGGGGTGAGCTTGTGTTAGTACTGTACAACATTCTCGCAGATTATTGCATGTTTCATGTTATACACGCAAGCCTGTAAAGCTTTTTTTTTTTGTACATTTGTCGAGTCGATGTTACATTTGTTGATTTTTATTTTTATTTTTTCTCTTACTGCGCAATCAAACATTTTTACTAACCAACATATGTTTATTTATCATCCCAGATCGGTTTTGCTAAATTCCGTTCTCGTGTAGAGGCAGTAGATGCACGCAATATTCTCACTGGTCGCAAAGTAGATGCCGAAAAAGGTTCTGTTCTTAAAGCAGAAATGGCAAAGAAAAACCTTCACACCAAGCGCGGCCTCTCAAATGATCAAAACACGCCTTTAAATTATCCTCTTCTCGCCAACAAGCGCTTTCCGACTCCAACAAATATCAATACTGGCGCACCTGGATTCGATGCATTCGTTTCACCGTATGCTCACGCACTGCCAAACGAACTATTGGCTGCAGAATATCAATACGACCTCTATTCAGACGTGAGTGGAGTGTATACGCCTACTACGCCAACGACACCGGTTTACGAACATGGGACCTTCTCAGCCAGGGGTTCATTCGATGCTGGCAATGGTGCTATTGCTGGAATGGTTGGAGCGCCAAGAGGATTGGTTAACACCGTGAGATATGGCAATAAAGGATTTATTGACGGAGAAGATTTGTACGTATCAAAGACAACGCCGGTCGAAATTAAAAAGTTGCCACCCGTGAATCCATTGTTTGCTAACGATGAATTGAGCAATCGCATGGCACAACTGGCATTGAGCACCTCTGCAGTGGCATCTTCACCTTCGGTTGGTGGAAACCTTCCGTTCAGAACACCAAATCCTGCTGATCAGAACCCTCCTTGTAATACTCTGTATGTCGGTAATCTACCAATGAATACATCAGAGGAAGAGCTTAAACAGCTCTTTTCAAAGTGTCCCGGATACAAACGTATGTGCTTCCGCACCAAGCAGAATGGCCCAATGTGCTTTGTAGAGTTTGAAGACGTTCATTATGCCACCCAGGCAATGACAGAATTGTACGGCAACCCATTATCAAACTCTGTCAAAGGTGGTATACGCCTTAGTTTCTCAAAGAATCCTCTCGGTGTACGTAGCAATAACAACAACACTGGTTCCTCGACCTCCTCCACTCCTACCGATCGCCGAGACTCTATCCCTTCTCTCGAACGTCGTGACTCGGCATATGGCATAGTTTCCGAGCGCCGTAATTCTTCATCCTGTTTCAATTTTGAGCGACGCGATTCGGCATTCAGTCTTTTGCCAGAAAGAAGGGACTCGCCCTGTCTCGGCTTGGAACGAAGAGATTCTATCTCGTCAGCATTCTTGCCTCAAGACAGATTTGATTTTGAAAGGAGAGGCTCCGCAGCAAGTTTCTTGCTAGGGCAGGAGAGAAGAGATTCGTTCTTTGATGGGACGAGGCGAGATTCTTTTAGTTTTGACCCGCAATTGGTGTGAGTTGTGTATTTAGAGAAAAAATATAATACTTTGGCAGAGTATTAAAATATGCCTATAGGAGCGAATTTTTTTCTTACATTTTTACAATGCAATTTCATTTAATTTTTTTCTTTTCACTCTCAATCATTTCTTTCTAGCACAAGCACTTTTATTGCAATCTTTACTTATAAACTATATTAACACGGGCATTTCAAAAGTATTCTGGAATTAAGGACATTCTTGTAATTTCTCCGCTTATTTGCACATAAACTATATATCACACTGGAAGGACAATGGAAACGAATACACTAAAAATTCATGCACTTTTAATTTTTCTTCTTTTATACACTTTTTCTTTCCGTACTTATCCCTTCTTTCTTATTATACCTTGTATTTTCTTTGTTCTCTTCTTTTGAATTATGGAGATTAGACATCTGTTATAACGAAAGATGAGTAAAAGTTTTTCCCATTGGCTACATTATTATTAAAAGTCTCCCTAATTCATTTAGGAGATATATCTTGTAAATTTAGCAGAGTCAGAGGAAATATATATTGCACAACTTGGCTTTTTTCTTTTCCCTTTTTTTTTTATTTCTTTGCATTTTTCTCTATCAAAAAAAAATAAAATTATATGGTGAGAAAACGTTTGTAATAAAAAAATTGTGTGTCCCAAGTGTATATACAGTATATACTAGTGTTGTTTATTATTATGCTAAAACGCTTGGGGAAATTGTTTTTGAAGTATTGCATTATTTTCCGGCTTTAAATGTTTGTTTATTATATTTAAAATCGTCCTATATAAGTATGTATGTTTGCCCGGCTAGCTCAATCGGTAGAGCGTGAGACTCTTAATCTCAAGGTTGTGGGTTCGACCCCCACGTTGGGCGATCATCTCCTGACCCGCGGCTGAACCGACTGAGATGATTCTTTTTCGTTTTATTATTATGATCGAGCTAATGTTCGTTTCGAAATTTACTAGCGAATAGGTTAGGGAAGTTTTGTCATGGACATAGTTTAAAAACTCGCTATCCAATCATACAATAGGTTTTAAATTTTTCATATTTCACAACCCTTTTCGGTTTCAGTTTGATAGCTTCTTGTCTGTACAAAAAATGTGGAATATTTTAGTGAGATCAGCACTTTTTGTCTTGCTGGCTCTTGGCGTTTTCGTGTATGGAGATCCAGAGGACAAGAGAAAGAGTGGTAGGATGCACGGACGTTGTCTGGAAAGTTTTATGTTTCTATTTATTATGTACTTGTTGACACTACTCTTTTGTTGTAGCTGCCGACTATTATGTTAGAAGTCTGCCTGGGCTTTCAGATGACGCGGGTATTGTGCAGCATGCTGGGTGAGAATTGAAAGTGATTGCGATCTCCTAGTGCATAGAGCCAATTAGTATGCTATGATACTAATTTGTTGATTCTTTGCATACCAGTCATATTCTAATTGATGAGTCTATAAACGGGAATATATTCTTCTGGCTAATACACAATCGTCACATCGCTGAGAAAAGAAAGTTTGTAAGTATTTGTATGGACATGATTACATTTATTCATTCTAACACATGTTTATTTTCTTGACACGGGCTTAGGTTATTTGGCTTAATGGAGGTAGTTGATGCGATTTATTCAACAAGATTTCTCGAGTGCAAATTTTCGGTTGAATCTTAATATACTTGTACGATTTTTTGTATAAATAGGTCCTGGATGGTAGGTTTTTTGGAATACAAAGGACAAGGAAAAAACAAAACGCTAATGGTGTATTTATAATTCTAAAAATTCGATTACCATATTTCTAATCACGTAGCTCAAGGTAAGATACGGGCAGTTTTATTAGTGAAATGTTTTTTGATCTATCGACATTTACAGTATCTTTTCATGCTTTTGTAGCATGGATGGCTTGTTTCTCGAAGTTGGTCCATGGCGCATGAATGCTGATCTAACTCTTAGACCAGAGTACGGATCATGGGATATGTTTGCAAATGTTCTATATGGTACAAAGAAATTTTGCTTTGGATATTTCGTTAGAGTATACTTGGCACAACGAATAGTTTTTCATCTCTTATTCCACAACGCTTGATATTTAGTTGATCAACCGGTGGGAACTGGATTTAGCACGGTAGATACAAACGGATACGTATCAAATATGACACAGGTACGTTGTTTTCCTACACTTTGCTTGCGAGACATGTTTTTTTTTTTTATTATTATTATTATTGCTAACGTGTATCACGATATTTTTTTTTAGATTACTGACCATTTTATGAAATTTCTTGACGAGTTTTTCGCGGTATTCCCAGAATATTCTCGTGATGAGGTAATATCAATAGCAACGTGTCTTGTTAAATACGATCAGAGCACTGACGGAGCTTTATTCACATTTAGATTTATATCACTGGAGAAAGTTATGCTGGAGTTTACATCCCGTACTTTGCTTCAGCTATACTAAAGAGGAACAAGAAAAAGACAACACAGATAGATTTAATAGTATGTATATAAATGTAGTCACAAAATTGTATGATCTTACTAATTTTCGTGTACAACTTCATGTTGCAGTATGATCTAAAAGGGATTGCTATTGGCAACGGGTGGATTGACCCTGTTGCTCAGGTATTTAGAATGGATTTATACTATAATGCTTGAGTACGGATGATTTTTCTCGTATTGAATCATTTTTTGCTCTAGTATGAAGCATACTATTCATTTGCTGACATTAATGGTCTTATTGAGGGAGAAGCAAAGGTATATTCACATATAGTACCCTGAAATACTATCGTTCAGCATCAAATACATTAGTCATTGCAAAAGTTTAACGTAAACATTACCTTTTAACAGGAGAAAGTCAAGAAAACTCTTGAAAATTGCCAAAGATTACAAAAAACAAAAGTATATATTCATGAGCCTGATTGTGAAATGATATTACAAGATATTCTCGATAGTACTACAAAGATGTAAGTCGTTTAAAGTAGTTCAAGCGCCGAGAGACTATTATTTGTTTACTAACTGTTATTACAACGCTCATAGTGAAGATGGTCGAAAGACTTGTGTTAACCAGTATGACATTCGCTTACGTGATACTTATCCGGCTTGTGGTATGAATTGGCCAAACGAACTGAAGAATATAACGAGCTATTTGAGGGTACATAAGAAACTATTCATAGCCCATGTATATTTGTACGCGGCAGGAGTTAACAAGAGATTTTCTTTCAGAGACCAGATGTAATTGGTGCTATAAATGCTCATGCCAAACAGGAAGGCTGGGTTGAATGTAGTGGCGCTGTTGGGACGGCCTTGGACAATGATCCCAGTCCTCCGTCCGTTACTGTGAGTGTTGGACATTGTTATAATTTTGCTCTGACTTAATCTTAATGATCTTAACCTACATGAGTTTCCTGCGGATATAGCTTTTACCTGATATATTAAAAGATATTCCGGTTTTACTCTTCAGGTAATGTTCAGTTGACTATTGCTATATATGATTTCATATGCGTACTGACTCGTCGATATTTACAGTGGTAATAAAGATTTAATATGCAATATTAACGGGACGCAGAGTATGATCGATTCATTAGAATGGAATGGTGATACAGGGTTCAAGGTATGAAGGCTACATTATAGCATTGAGTGCATTCTTGTCAAATACCGTGTCGTTACTCATAATCCATCTCTTAAATAATATAAAGGGTGCAGTTGCTGCTGACTGGCATGTCAACGGCACACTTGTCGGTGATTGGAAGATAGCTCGCGGCCTGCATTTGGCGACTATATACGATGCCAGTCACATGGTTGGATATGACCGTCCAGCAGTAGCAACTGATATGATTAATAGATTCTTGGGCTTTAATTATACATATTCGGATTTGGGGCCTCCATCTAGTCTCGGAGATGATGTATGCGGCTGTATTTGTTGCAATCTTTCGCGGTCAAGGAGATCTAATATAATCTTCTTTAAATAGAAATTGGTTATTACACCACCGGGTGCTCCTACTGATGACGACGATGATTATGACGGTGATGGCGGAAACGACGAAATGTGGGATCGATATTACAACGCGTATGTTCACGTGTTTGTTTTTCTTTCACAGGACCATCACTTGATAGAACTGATTAATACTATTTACTATTCACAGTGGGACAGCAACCTTAATTATCATTATTTGTGCCCTGATTGGGATTGGAGCATTTGTATTCAGACGCAAATATCTTAATACTAAGAAAAATGCAGGTCAACCAATTAAGGCTGTCGACTATGAAAGCAACGAATTGTGCGTACATACAACTTTTTAATAGCAGTGATGACCAACGATATCAACACTAACGCTGTATCTATTTATAATATGTTTTTAGGGAGGAACTTGTCATTGAGACTCCTCTGTATGATATAGGCGATGAAGATGAGGATCACTTTGGAGACAGTGAAGATGAGACGGATCATAGGGACGTCCCATCAGAGGTGGGTACTCAACCGTATAAAGATGACGCGGATAATGGCAGCGGTGATAGCGACCCTCAAGGATTGAAAAGAAGGAGCAAGTAATCGAATAGAATATTAAATATTATGTAAAGTATTGCAAGTATTTATTCCTATGAATACGTTGGATTCGCCTAGCGGATCCGATGTGCTGATATTCCAATAGATAAAACGGTTTGTACAGTCTTCTCATGAGGAGGCAATAAAAAATAATAAATATATTATACGGGGGCGATATGGCTTTGACAAATATTAAGCTCGAAGAAGCTACAGTATAGCATTATTTGACATGTGGAAATAGTAAACTGAGACCTTTCTCTATGCTAGCCATATTAATTAACTAGTATATTAATTGGCATTCCACCTTGCTATTTCGATTCTGACAACCGCAAAAATGGAGTAATAACATCTAAGCGGATGCTGTTGTTTCAGACTAAGACTAGCATACTTTTCATATGGTTAATGTTGCCTATTACTATTACTATGACTATTATTAATTATGTCATATGACCGATCGGATAGCGCAGCATACTGCCTGATAAAAGAAAAAAGGGGTTCACTTTATCCTACTCAACAACAAACGCGGGATTAGCTACACCCGTACTCTACACTATCGTGCGCCAGAGAATTCATGTAAATAAATCAGCCTAAGGTCAGAGCAAAGCAACGGAAAAGGCACGGTACGATAAAGGTATCAAACGGCAAGAGAAATTTAACGAATTTCTGACTTGGGATGTAAAATACTGTTCCGACTCGCTGATTACGAAGACGAGGCTATATTATATATTATATTATATTATATTATATTATATTATATTATATATTACAAGAACATTAAGAAGCGAAACTTAATAGTGGAAAAATTCCATGCGAAGAGCGTACTGAAAGCGCTACAATTATTATGTATGGAATTAATGGCTTTCGTGATCCCCCAGTTTCTGGAAACATTATCAGGCTTACGAGAAGGACGAGGAAGATTTCATGGCGGTACTTAATTCCGTAAAGGTTAATACTATTAAAGAAAAAAAAAACCAGCGATGAAGAAAGAGGTGAACAATTCTCATGTACACGGTTTGTGTCAGCTTTCATAAGCCAGTGTTCTCTGGTACAATCAAGTTGGGGGGACTTCTAAGTATCAACCAATTATTGCTGAACCATCTAAAAAGGGAGTACGCAACTCCAAGCCGGTGAGTCCTCAAATTGTGTTTGGCCGCTTTTACTTTGTTATGTTTGGCCACGGGATCCATATCTCGTTTGCCGATTTCGTGAGTTTCATGTAGGAGCTATAATTAACTTTAATGATATTTCTCATTTAAAGGGAAATCAAGGTGGATATCCCAACCTGGCTACCGAATCAAACATGTAAGAATGTAAATTCCATCGCAAGTGAATTACTGAATTATAACTAAAGGAATCCTAGCAGCCGTCTTAGAGCGTTATATTAAAGTTATTATTATTTTTAAGTTTAGAATTATAACCACACCAATGCAGAGATATCGAAGATCGGGACGCGGTTTATTGCTCTTGCAATGGTTTCTGTTCAAACCAATAGATTAGCAAGGAAAATTAAAAGAATGTGTTGATGCTGAAGGAGGTCATACAAATATTGATGTAATAATAAACTGCATTGTGTACTTTACCTAATTGATGAAGTCCAAATGACGTTAAATTGGTATTTTAGTTGATATGCTCACAAAGAGACTATCCCATGACTTGCCGGGTAGATCAGAAATTCACCAAATACAAGTGATATTGATAAAACAGCTTTCATTGTCTATTAGCTCTATTAACTATTTGTAACATCATGATAAAGTTAATTATTATCACTATCCCCAAAATCTCATCAAATTAATCCAGATGTTATTATACATCTCATGAACATCAAAGTATGGTAACTTTTACAACGTCTAAACTGATAGCATTTTTTCTCTACTTTTACGTCTGTCTTCTTTGATATTAATTTCCATCACCACCATCGCCACTTCCGCCATCGCCACTTCCGCCATCACCGAGCGAAGTTTTGATCTCGTATGAAAAGAATTTCACTTTCATCAGCAGTGCTAACGCTGCATGGGCGGCTATAATAAAAATTATAATCAACCGAGCAGCTTTGGCTTCTGCTTGAGAGATCACTGGGTAGAGATTCCTAGTTATAAAGAACCCTATAAAAATTTTGTATGATAAGACATAAAAGGTTCAGAAAGTGAATCGGTCCATGAAGCCAATAGAGTGGAAGGGAGATAATCGACATAAAAATACTCACCAGAGATGGCAAACCCCACCGCTACAAGCGTCCAACGGACTGACTCTGATGGAACTACGCAGAAAACCTATAACATAACCAGATGTCGATCAGTTAGATCTTTTCCCCTAAGTTCAATTCTATTTTCCAATCGCATTCTTTCTACAATAAAATTCTCTCGCAACCTTCGTAGTACATTCATTATTCCACCTTGCACGTCATCAATTTAGCGCGATAAAATCAAAGACTTACCGCAACTGGTATCCATACAGTCATGCCGTACCCATATAATGAAACAGTATCCAGAAACCCGGGACGACACCCCAAATACTTTAGTGCTATCCAAACAACAAGTGGCACAACAAATGCGTAGACATATACAACAGTTGCGCCAAACGTAAGGATCATAAAGTCATATGTGTAAGCATCACCACTTATGTGTGCTGCAATTGATCCGGCAATAGAGGATGTGACAAAGAGGAGGAAGATCACTGTTGTCGAGATCCAGAAGGGGCCTGTTGATAACAAGACACCAACATCGAATTAGAAGAAGACTAAGGCAATGTTCAAATACTTCAAGTAACCATTTATATGTTGCATTTGAGGGTATATATCGATATATGCACATAAAGGTATTATAAATATGATCATAGTGAACTAACCATACAAATCTGGACGCGGTCCAACGGTCTCTGCAAAACTTTCTCTTGGAAACAAACTCTTCCCCGCTCTCTCCAGCACCTATACAAACAACCCGAAAATCACATCAGAAAAAAAAAAAAAAAGACTTACAATACAGCTTTACCACAGTTCAATGCTGTAATCAATCATACCTGATCTGTATCTACATCAAAGAACTGCGCGTAGTATTCGATAGACCAGAATGGATAACTGGTTCCTTGGGTTTCAGTCTGACTTGACTGATGTGAATCGTAAAATGGATTGCTAAACGAAGCTTCAGGAGAGGATATAAGATTAGTAATTCAAAAAATGTTAACTATAGCGGAGGTGAACGCTCATATCACTTTGTCTACCAAAACATCTACGCCTTGCAACGATCACTTACAACTCACCTGAACTCGAAGATGCCTGCTTGTCACTTGTTATCTTCCCTCCGACTCCGGAACTCGACGAATAGTCTGAAAAGGCCCATACGAATAAACAACTCTTGTTTCTATCCCAACAAAAATCTCATTGCCCTCAGCAAAAACATGACTTTTTTTTTACCCTGAAATTCGAGTTCTTGTCTCCCTGTGCTCTTTGACCAGTAATTTTGTATGATCAGTTTGATATTCCATGAAAACTCAAGATTATAGATAATAGTTATTACATATTACACATACTGAATCCTCGTCCACCTCAACGACCACGCTATACTGTTCTCTTGACATTATTCCAATTATTAGTTATACATATAGAAATCAAAGTTAGAAGATTACAGAACAATAAGGTGCATATTCCCAACAAGCAATTGAAAGAGTACTTATCCAATCGGGCACAGGAACCCTAACTTGTTTGGGAATTTGTACGATGGCTTGAAATAAGTGGATTTCGTTTTCCAAACTAAAACTATTCAAAAAACTTCAAGAATAATAATAATAGAATAATCGTCTGCTTCCGAATTGAATGGAGGTAGTCTAAACGCAAACTTGACAAAATGTCTGTCGTTGTCACAGCAAACATAAATCAAAAGGTGTTTTTTCCTTATCCTGTTGTGATCTGAAAAGTGCTGTCAATACCCTGCTTCTGTTCTAACTCAATTTTGCATTCTTTAGGCTGTTTTCTTTGCTGGAGAAACCTTTCACTGCACGATCTCCTTTACAAATCCTCTTCCACCAACATCAGCCTCCAAAACAAGCTCGCAAGACTCTGACTCGTCGAAACCTCGCCTTCAGAACAGCGAACAACTCTTCCCGGACGACCGTCACCATGATCAGTATGCCCGTTCATCTTCAAGCGGACATGCAAAAACGATTAACGAATCAAAGGCTGGGAAGAAACCTCATAAATCAATGCAAGAAAATGGGAACCTCTTGTCGGTGATTGTAGAGAATCCGGCAGCCCAAACCAATATGGCAGGAGACTTGAACGATTCGGGAATTTTTGGATTTAGAAATTTTGTGAAAAGATCGGCGTCGTTTACAGGGTTGGCATCGCTATTAACGGGTGGTGGGGATGCGAGTGAAGAGTGGGATGAGACCGAGATTGTGGCAGAGCCTGCATCGCATGCGGATGCGTCTTCGGAGAAGGGGCACTCGGAAAGTAAATGTCGTTTGGTTTTGTTCTTTTCTTTCTTCTCTAGTCGGTCAGAATGAATGTAATTGACGCTTACCTTCTCTCATATCTTGTCTATGCATAGCATCGGCACCTAAAGCAACCCAAAACTCAATTCCAGTTTCACCACCAATGATTTACGAAACCGATACCGAAACAGACGATGACTTGGGTTTTATCGACCTGCAGGCAGCAGATGGAAGTGACACGTTTTCCATTGACCTTGAAACCGGCGAATCTTCTCCCCGTAGCTCGGTTGATTACCTTTCAGTAACATCGCCCGAGTGGTCAACCAATGGCTCGTTGATGGACTACAAACGACAAAGCAGGCGTCCATCAATAATAACAAGATGTAGTTCCTCGCCATCATTGACACAAAAGTATGAGACATTATTATGGGGTTTTGCACAGATTGTGGGCGTGTTTGTGGTAGACGGTTCGCTGATGAAAGCGTACGAGTTTGAACCGTTGAAATTGAAGAATATGTATGGACCTGGTGGTGGTATGGGGGGAGCGGTTGGAGGCGGCATGTTGGGAATATTTACACCGACAGCTATGGGAATGTCAACACTAGCAGATATGCAGGAGAGGGCAGGTTAGTTCAACGAAGGAAGTGCCTTGGGTTTTGACATTTATAATGACGATAACAATTGACTGCTTTTGTTGCTATGTTCAATAGATAATAAATCGATACCGGTATTTTCTACCCCACCATCAATCCTATTTATTGATGTGCATTTGGCGCCTGGAGAGACACGTACATGTGAGTGTTCTAAGACAATTATAATATTGATTTCTATTTTATCCATGTCTAACATTTTTTTTCCCCATTAGACTCATATGAGACTAGACTACCAGCGGATCTTCCTCCCACACATAAAGGCAAAGCCATAAAATTTCAATATAATTTGATAATAGGAACACATCGAGGAGGAATGAATCATCAGTCACATATCGTACATCTTCCATTCAGAGTGTTTAATTATGTGTCTGGTAAGTGGAATGACATCTGGATGACACATTAAAAAGTAAAACTGAATTGCAATAAATGTGGGAGACACGAAAGAAACGTACACTTACATGACACTGTTCATTGTCATTATTCAGAGGATGGTGCTCGGCCAATGTATGACCTGATGAATCCAGTAATTATTTCCAAGGATGAAGCCATTGTTACTTGCCTTGATGATAATCCAAAGGAAAATAAGCCAGCAATAAAGAAAGGTAATATCTCACGACCTAAGTATAACTCGTTGAGAGTAATACTTTAAATCAATAGTCCATCCTTTGATCATAATTCATAAAAAGCATTTTGTCTTTAACTCGGCAATTTTTTATCTTTATGTCTTCTATTCTAGGGACCAACAAAGCAGAATTCATTGAATATGTTGATCAGCTTGTTCGAAGTCTGGCGAACGATTCAACATCAAATGGCGATGTAGAAGATAATGCACGTTCCGAAAGCGATTCGTTTGTACATGTTGAACGAGAATTGAAATCGTGTACGAATACGGTAGCTATTTTATCAAAAAATATGCGAAAAGGTTAGTAAAGTGCACAGGGAGTAAGAAGACTCCTGTTTATTGTTAGGATTGGAATGCGGGGAAAGAAAGAATTCTATCTGTTGATAGCAGTTGTTAGTTACTATTGCTTATTGAAACTGTTGATTCTTTTTATCCTTAATAGCTACATACGATATATGCAAGAACAATGCACGTGTTGCTCAGCTGTGTTTATTGAAGACAACATATCAACTGGGAGATGTTGTTACAGGAGTAATAAATTTCAATGATGCCTTAATACAGAGTTATCAGGTTGGGAATATTTCTTGAGCAATTGTGACTTTATATTGCACCTGTTTCAACCAATTCAGACGATCAATTTAGGTGTGGGTTGGTATTTTTAATGCCGATCGAGGTTCGGTGATTCATATTAATTTCGCCTGGTGCACCAGTGGTGCACCATATATAGCACATGTGAGCTATAAGGGTTAGGGTAAATTTGTAGATCCCAATGGTGCACCACTGGCAAAATTAATATAATCATCGATCGATTTTGGCGGGGGGAGGTTGAAACAGGTGGTTTATTTGTCCGCAAAATAAAATGTCACATGCTTGCTCACATGTTCACACGATCTTTTTATTGTTTCTAGGTGTCTATTACACTAGAAAGTAATGAACAAATAGAAGCAAGTATCGCCGCTCGTCCCCAGCATCATATAAACAAAATAACACGTAAAGTACATGGAGAGCATCACGAGTTCTGTCTCTATACACGACGAATAAGTTTTGCCATTCCAATACCAACAAACGGTACGCCGGATTTCACTACAACAGCAGGTAATCAGAATGTCAGATCGAAGAGTGACACTGTTTATCGGAGATTTATAGGACAAACCGCAATCTGCCTTTATGCTTTGTATGTTTTGATATACTAATATTTTATCCACTTGCTTCTCTCTGTCTATCCGTGTCCTTATAGTCAAACTCCATTGGGGATTGCGACTGGAATTCATCACAGGTGATAAGAATACCTCTCCACTTCTTTCACTAAACACGGACGAGCGACATCTGTACTTACAGGCTGTGCCAGATGTGAGCGTGGAGACATTTGACTGTTTAGTCCCAATCAAAGTATACCCAACGTCATATGAATCAGCGAGGACATTCCCACATTCGCACACATTCTATGTATCATAATTCAGTCTAATAGAGCTAAGAGTCAATAATTTATTTTCTCTTTGTATTAAAATCCATAATAGTAATAAATACGACAGTCGATTATTGGTAGCCATTAGAGTTCAGTCTGCTTTTCTTAAATCCATTTCACTAATATATCAACCCTCTTTATTAGCAATGCGTCGTCATAGGACTTCTACCTATAGAATTTCATTATAGATATCAACTTTTATAGTAACCACGTTTCAGTTGATATTCACCATCAACATCAATCAAACTCCCACTTTTAACTTTCTTGGTATTAACCGTTGTAAAGAGTAGAAAGATTATTTCTTGGCGCGTGCGAAACATTATAAATTCACATGGCCTGAGGCACAGACTTCCGTTTCACTGTATAACACATTTAATAAACAAGCTCACGATTTGTTGATATTGCAAAGTATATTTGCGCTACATTCGGTTTATCAATTCGATCGGTAGAAACCGACGACAAGATCGATATTCGCTTGTTCAGCTCACTTAATCAGATGCTAAGCACTCCAGATGCTCAATTTTATTAAGAGCGGATTAATAGAAAAAGTTAAATGTTACAAGAGAGCGAATGAAGATGGTACAGGAAATGAATGGAAATACTGTGTTATATAAACACGTACCCCAAAGGGGAAATTCTATATATATTATAGACAGAAAAGACTGGGCAAAGGAAAGAGAATAGTAGAGTGAGGAGTAGATAAGACTGGGCGAAGAAATTGAATGTACTCACTATTCCATATTAAATTATTAATCGAGGATAAAAGCATTAGATAAGTTTTCACCTAGTCAATTGTATAGATACAAACACGACTTTTTACATGATACACTCTTTTCTAGACGTAACTGAGAAGCAATTCTACAATCTTGTCGTCATATTGATCGCAATTCGAGTCGCTACAGAATCCATTTTTGTAATGCTCACTGAAAATGGCCAACGACATCTTCACGTTGGCATTTGACTTGGACATTAATGCCTTTCGCTGAGCGACGCCAAGCTTCCATTTTACAGCAATACGGGATATGGTGTGAGAGATTACTGTGTAAAATTCTCCTGCCGTGTCATTATCTAATGCACTAACGACAGTCTTTACAGTTCGCTCTTTCACAAGATCCAAATGACGACAAATCGACAATACGCTTCCACACACTTCCTCGACCATCATGCAAGCATCTTTTTTGGAAACACTGAATTGAGATGACTTTGTTTCTACAGGAACCGAGCATTCTCCACGGAATTCAGGTGATTGGTTAAATATTGCGTCTTCAACTAGACCAGGAATAGTCTCAGCAAAGGACTTGTCCAATTGTGAAACAGTCACGCGGACGTCGTCAATTATTTCGTTGCGGAGTTTACTACCTTTACCAGAAGAGATTTTGTTCACGTTCACACCGTCGAGTATGTGAGACGTAAGATTCTGAGCAAACAGCTCGAATAGAGCATGTGATTCCGAGGCGTATATGTCCACAAAAGAAAGACCAAGCTCTGTTCGACAGGTGGTATCACAGGCAGTTGTCAGAGATGCGAGCAAAGAAACGAGAAATATGTTGAGGTAGACGAGAGTAGAAAACATGTTTTATGACAGTAAAAAGAAAAGAGAGTATTGAAGCGTGTAGGTTGGAGAAAAGAGCAAGTAGAAAAAGGGCGAAAGCAGGGAGGGATTTAAGAATAAGAGGAATGAATATTGAGATGAGAGGCGGTGAAGAGAGAGAGAGAGAAAGAGAGAGAGAGAGAGACGGCGGAAGGTGTGTAGGTATGAGGGTGTCGGGTAAGGGTCGCTCGGCGACAAGGAGGCTCACAAATCCCAGGAGAAAAGGAGGAGTAGGAGGAGGAGAGGAAGGGAGTGAATGTTTTCGCCTTTATCTACGGCGGGCAGAGGATATCAAGTCTCCTGCTATGGTCACCGCCTTTCTTCGCAGTGTTTATGGTGTAAAAAAGATAGAGAAAGTTAACACACAGTTCAATGGTGTGTACTCTAGATGATTTTAAATAATGCAATGTTACATCAACTTGTGTGAATTCTTTTGTGAACATATATGGACGCAGAGAAGTACCTATTATCATTTAGTTACACGAGATCTTCTTGATTCATACATGCTAATACTTCGACCGAGGGCGTACACGACCGACTAATAAAACTAATACTCGTCCTGAGATTCGGTTTCGTACAGTATTATTAGGCCTTTGTTTTTAATAAAAGATATAAATAAACCGATTTCTACTCATCACGACATGTATAAAAGGGCGGATTACACTTGTATCGAGACCGCTACGTTAGTGACGTGGTAATCCTGTATACCATTCCACTTCTTATCATAACGTTTTCCTATCAAATATTTATGAAACGTTACGTTGTACTTGCTTCCTGGAACAACATGGTGTCGTACGTCTACGGATATTAATATTGCGAAACCTGAAATGGGTAACAACGGTATCTATAATGATCGATTGCCTTGTGTCACAGTACCTTATATACGCTCACATGATGCCAAGTTTCATTCTCAATTCCAAATAACAACTGTTGCTAGCTGGGCATGCGTCATTACAATTGGTATGCTACCATCTTTCCACGACGTTTTGAAAACTGTCAAACCTTTTTACTTTGTGGCATCAAAAATTATTACAGCATACACAATGGGAACTTGGATCTCTCAAATAAAGCAGGTATGCTAAGCTACAATAATAAAGGAATCATCAAAGGAGGATATGATAACAATCGTTCGCTTGACTTGCATAATGATTATCTAGCGCTAAAATTCGTAGCAATATCAGTGACATTTATAAAGATATCGCTGGCGGATGGTAATTGCTTGTTTGCTGGCAAACTGAGAATGTGGAAGCGAGAGTATTTTTGCTGTTTGATACTGCAAATCAAGAAATATGCGTTTGTTAGTGACTTCGGATGAGCGAGTGGCAACCACAAGCAACAATCAGTCATCTTCTGAATTCTGGCAAACGAAATAAATCGTCGTAAATTAGAAAATTTTGCTAGTACATGTGTAGGATTAGTATGGCGCGTTAAATATTACAAACAACCAGTCAAATGTGGTCACCTACCGTATTTCTCCGACACGAGTACCCCCCCAATGAGCTATAGCCTGCGGCAATTTTGAAGGCCAAATTTTGATTTATACCCGGGTATTAGTTATGGTATCCCTCCGGCATATATACCCC